TCAACAGTATTAGAATCATCATCGGCGTCGTCATCATCATCAGCAGCATCATCATCAGCATCATCATCATCATCATCATCATCATCATCATCATCATCATCATCATCATCATCATCATCATCATCATCATCATCATCTCCATCATCATCATCAGCATCATCATCATCAGAATCGCCATCATCAGCATAACCATCACCATGAGCATCAGCATCATCATTGTCATCGTCATCGTCATCCTCATCCTCATGCTCATAATCCTCCTCATCCCCATTCTCCTCCTCCGCCTCGTCATCATCACCATCATTAGCACGGTGATCATCATCATTGCAGATCAATCCTCACACTCCTCCTCATAGTCGTTATCATTTCGTCTCCTCCTCCTCCTCATCCTCCTCCTCCTTCTCCCCCTTCATCCCCCATCATCATCAGCAGCAGCATCATCAGCAGCAGCAACAGCAGCAGCATCACCACCATCAGCATCATCGCCATAATCATTCAACTCAGAATAGGCTTTATCACAAACATCAGCATCGTCATTATGTGTTTCTTCTTCTTCATCATCATCAACATCACCCTCCTCCTCCTCACCGTCATCAGAATCAGCATAATCATCGTTATCATCTTCGTCATCGCCGTAGTGATCGTCGTCATCATCATAGACGTCGACGTCGTCAGAATCACGATCATCGTCATCATCATCATCGTCATCATCAGCATCGCCATCATCAACATCGTTACCATCACTATCATCAATATCATCATCATCATCATCATCATCATCATCATCATCATCATCATCATCATCATCATCATCATCAGTATTATCATCATCACCATCATCATCGTCATAATCATCAGCATCATCAGTAGCAGCAGCAGCAGCAGAACCATCATCGTCATCATCATTATCCTCATCATCCTCATCAGCATCCTCCTGATCATCATCATCATCATCATCATCATCATCATCATCATCATCATCATCATCATCATCATCATCATCATCATGATCAGCATGCTTCCTGCTCAATCCTCATAATCCTCATCATCAGCATCTCATCTTCATCATCATCATTATGATCATCGTTGTCATCATCATCATCATCATCATCATCATCATCATCATCATCATCATCATCATCATCATCATCATCATCATCATCATAATCGTAATCATCATCGTCACCATCATCTCCTCCTCCTCCTCCTCCTCCTCCTCCTCCTCCTCCTCCTCGTCGCCCTCCCCCTCCTCCTCCCTAATCGGCGCGAGGGGTCCGCGCGCGGGCGCGGCGGACGGTGCGGCGCCTCCCACTGAAGAGACTGCGTCTGAAGCTTGAACAGACCATTGTCGGGCACCCCGACGTGCTCCCACCTCGGAGCAGCAGGGGACGCAACGGGAAATTTGCTGCAGGCCGCTGCCAAGCGAAGCTCACGAGCTGGAATTCGAAGATGAGCAAGCAGAATGACAGATTCTGCACGCTCGGCAGGTGGAGAGAGAGAGTAGGCTGCGCACTCCACGCCTTGACCACACATCTTGGCAACTAACGCTCCCTGGCTCATATTATTATGCCCGCAGACCGAGGCGAGACAGGGGAAGAGGAAGAGAAAAGAAAACCGCAAGGGGGAGACGGAGAGGGAACACCACCTCGAGGACGGAGGTGTGGAGGCAGATGGGAGCCAGGGGCTGGTGGCGCATGCCTTCCTCGGGGCTCACGCGGGGCATTCCGCACGCCTGCGTCCCGCAGGCCAGCTCGTTCCTGCACCCCCAAAACTACCCAACGATCCACCCGAACGGCCCACCCGCCATCCGAACGATCATTCCACACTACCAGTCCACCGGTCGCGCAACGACAGCCGACCATCTCACCGATCCTGGCCGGTCCGATCCTGGGTCCAGGGGGCCAGGATGGGCATGGTCGGTTGGCAACGCCCGACGATGGTGCGATCGCTCTCCCCAACCACCGCACGGTCCCGCCGCAGAGCCTCCTCCTCCCTCCTCCCTCCTCCCTCCTCTCCTCTCCTCCTCCCTCCTCTCCTCCTCCTCCTCCTCCTCTCTCCTCCTCCTCCTCCTCCTCCTCCTCCTCCTCCTCCTCCTCCTCTCCTCCTCCTCCTCCCCTCCTCCCTCCTCCTCCTCCTCTCCTCCTCCTCCTCCTCCTCCTCTCCTCCTCCTCCTCCTCCTCCTCCTCCTCCTCCTCCCCTCCTCCTCCTCCGCCTCCAAACCTCCGCCGCTGCGCCTGCGTGTGCGATCTGGGTGGGGGGCACATGCGAACCCTACCCCTACCCTCCACGATTTCTGAGGGGGAGGGTGGGGTTCACTTCGCTCGGGAGCTCCCGAGCGAAGTGAACTTCACCCTCCCCCTCAGAAATCGTTGGGGGTAGGGGTAGGGTTCGCATGTGGCCCCCTACTGGGCCGCTCCGCCGGCCGCGCCCCTGCCTCGCGACGCGCCGAGGCCACCGCTTCAGGCCCGCCGCGAAGGGCGGGGGCTGCGGCCCGGCCGCCCTGGCCGGGGCGGGGCTCCGCGGGCTGCCGGGGCCCTCCGCCGCTGAGGCCGCCGCCGCCACAGCAGCCGCCACGGCCACCGCCGTCGTGGCCGCCACTGCTTCGGACACCCGAGTTGGGTCTCGCCATCGCTCTGACGTCCATTCCCTGTGTTTGTTTTGGTTTCGTGCGTGGTTTTTCGCCAAATGATCAAGGATGCTCCTCGATTGTCCTCGCCGAAAGAAAAATGCACACGTCCGAGCGATGCCAAGGGGTACGGAAGAGGTGGGCACAACACCCAACAACAAGTGCTGTCCCAAACCAGCAACGGCCGCTGTTGGGCGGGCGGCCTTGTGCCTCAAATGGGCACCGGCCGCGGCGGCGCGGACGGCGAGTTCGGCTCAAGATGAACAAGAACTGCTGTTGGGCATTGTACCCATTCTTTCCGTACCCATTTCGTGCCGAACTGCCGTCGCCGCTGCCGCCACCTCCACCGGCGTCAACGCTGCCGCCGCAACTGCAAGGCCGCCGCGGAAAGCGACGGGTTGACGAGGCCGCCACCGACGCCACCACAAACATGAAGGCGTGAAGAGCACGAAGGGCTGTTGTTCCCGGACAGTGCGGGGGGGCCCAGGGGTATCTTTTAGTAGATCAGCCTGTCCTTGGTGCCAAGTTCGAAGAAAACTTGCATATTTCCGCTCGGTAAAAGACGAGGTGAAACGGGCGTGGGCCTTGGGGGTTGTTTTAGATGTTTACCCCCAGCTTCGATTTGAAGATGGCCGGAACTCATTGTGTCCCAACAATCCTGTGGTGTTGGGTCCTCGTTTTGAAGAAACAGCGCCCCGCGTCTCCTGTCCTTTCCGCTCCACTCCGTTCCGCTCCACAATTATCCTCTCCTCTCATCTCCTCCTTCTTCCTCCCCCTCTTGCCTCTACCCTCTGCATGTCCACCGTTTCAGCAAACCAAGCACTACGCTTCGTGGCCCCATAGGGAGCGCAACCGAAGGTCCTAATGCTACCGCATGCGCCCCCCCCCGCCCAGCACAGCGCTTCGCGGCCCTAAAGGGATCTCCACCAACGGCCCCAGTGCTACCGCCCACATGCGTCCACCCCATCCAGTACAGTGTTGCGTGGCCCCATACGGACCTCATCCGACGGCCCCACGGCTACCGCCCGCATGCATCCCCCCACCCAGTACAGCGCTTCGTGGCCACATAGGGGGCTCCACCGAAGGACCCAGTGCTACCGCCTGCATGCTCCCCCCCGCCCAGTACAGCGTGCTGCGGCCCGATAGGGAGCTCCACCGAAGGCCCCAGTGGCAACGCCCGCATGCGCCGGCCCTGTAGGGCGCTCCGCTGAAGGCCCCAGTGGCATTTTCCGCATGCGTCTCCCCCCACCCAATGCAGCGCTGCGCCGCTCCATAGGGAGGTCCACCGAAATTCCCGGTGACATCGTCCACATGCGCCCCCCGCACCCAGCTCAGCGCTTCGTGGCCCCATAAGGCCCTAGCGCTACCGCCCGCATGCGTCCTCCGGACCCAGTACAGCGCTTCGTGCCCCGACAGAGGGCCCCACCGAGTACGCCAGTGGCACCGTTCCTCCACCCAGTACAGCGTCTCGTGGCCCATGGGAAGCTCCACCGAAAGCCCCAGGGGCAAAGTTCGAATGTGTCCCCCCCAACCAGCACAGCGTCTTCGTGGCCCATAAGGAGCTCCACGGAGGGCCCCACTGGCAACGTTCGCGCGCGTACCCGCCCCCACCGAGCATGGCGTTTCGTGGCCCCTGTAGGGAGCTCCACCGACGGCCCCAGTGGCACCGTCCGCATGCGCCTCCCCCACCCAGTATAGCTTTTCGCGGCCCCATGGGGGGCTCCACCGAAGGATTCAATGGCAACGTCCACATGCATCTCCCCCACCCAGCACAACGCTTCGTGGCCCCAGAGGGAGCTGCACCGAAAGCGCCAGTGACACCGTCCGCACGAATTTCCTCCCAACTCAGCACAGCGCTTCGTGGCCCGAAAGGGAGCTCCACCGAAGGCCCCCGTGGAAAAGTTCGCCACGAGAGTGTAGTTCAGGTAGCTCGGCAGTCCTTGCTCGACGAACTGGCGGGCTGCGACCTGCTCCGCCTCCTACCGGACTTCCTCGGATATTTTGTGAGGTGCCTCTCTCTTGTAGTATAGCTGCTGGATCTTCTCTTCTTTTCGATGTTCTGCAAAGTGACCGAGCCATGCTCCGCGCAGCGCTTCATCATCGGCGTTTCAGCACGTCCTGCTCGCCTCGCGCCACTCTCCTGCATGCCGAAACGCGCGACCTTGATCTCACTGCGCGGGGGCGCTGCTGGCCTTCGTGGCACCCTGCCATGGCCGAGACGCGGCTGCGCAAACAATGAAAACGGACACCGGCGCGCGGCTTCCATGGCACCGTCCGGATGAGCTCCAGCGGGGCCACCAGGCCCGTGGAGATGATGGCGTAGTCGAAAAATCTCGACCTGCCCGTTTGACGGGAAGCAGGTTGGGGATTGTTGTTCTGAAGCAAAGACCTGCCCATCCAGTATGCTGGACCATACGCAGGCCTTCATCTCTTCTGGCGCGAAGTTGAAACTGTCCATGACCACCCGTGGGCCTTCCCAAACAGCCGTCCACTCTCTCAAGGCGCAGAGGCTTCCACGCTGCAGCCTGCGACTCCGATCGCACACTCCAGGTGCACGAAAACCGCGGAGATGCGCGCGCTCCTGCGTTTCGCGACTACCACCGTGATGCCACTGCTCTCCTCGGAAGTGGTGTTCCGGGAACCCTGGCAACCTCTCGCTGGCTGCCATCGCTGATCATGCCAGCGCGGCTGGTCATGCCAGCGCGGCCGCGCCTCCTCTGGTGCGGTGCCCTTCTCAGAGTCCGGCCTCTGTCCAGAAGCTGTTCGGCCAGCTCTTTCTGGGTAAAGTCCTCGCGCTGCGTCCGCTGCGCACGTGGTGCTCGGCAGTCCCTGTGACGTCAGCGCCCCGCGTTTTCACGATGTCCTCGAGCGGCCTTGCGCCTGGGGTCCCCAGGCGATGATGTGGAAAGAGGCCGACGTGGAACGTGCGGCGAGGCTTCACCTCCCCCACCTTGACATTGTCATGCATCTGGCGGCTTTGCTTATTGCGCCGCTGCTGTGTGTTCGGCTTTCTTGGCTACGGAGACGTCGGCTCTGGCGCCAGCAATGCGCGCTTCGACCCTGGCCTTCCGAGCTTCTGCTTCAGCGCCTCCACCTTTGTCCTCTGCCTTTGCATGGGCATGCCGACGCCCCAGTGGCCGCCACGTCTGCTGCTTCCTGGCTGCGGCTGGCTTCTGCTGATGCTGACCCCGATCCGACTGGGTTGCCGCTTGCCCGCGGCCTCTTCCCAGTTAGGCGTTTGTTCTTATCCAGTCTCAGCTTGGTCAGCTTGCCTCTTGGTATTCAACTGCTCGAGCGCCCGCAGCTGTTCTTGCTGCTTTGCAGTCTCCACCTTGAGCTTGCCGTCAAATTCTTCGGCTGCCGCTTCATGGCCGGCTGCGGCGTTGGCCGTGCTCTCCAGCGTGGTCATGGTCTGCCTCCGTGCGTCTTTGCCCGGGTCAGCCCACGTGTGGAAGTCGTATGGTTCGCGCACGTATGCTGCAGGGAGTGATTGGGTATTCGGGCCCGCTGCTGGTGCTCCTGGTTATGGTGCCGCTGCTGGGGTCTTGCCGACCTGCGACTTCGCGGCGTCGAACTCCTCCTCTGCTTCTTGGACGGCGGCGGCGTGGTCGAAGCTCCTTCTCGCAGTCGGCCAGGTACTTCACAGCGTCCTCGACTGACCCGGCGGCCCGCCCCGTGAACTGCTGGGCAGTGTCCACCTGCCTGTCGGCGGCCTCGACTGTTCGTGGCCCAGCAAGCGGCGCGCCTGAAGGCAGCTGAGCTGCCGCCAGTGTGGGCCGGATTGCCGTGTAGCTTCTTTTTGGGGGGGGGTCTCCGTTGCCCGGGGCTGCGCACTTCTGGGCCACGAGCTCCGCCAGGTCCGCGTCCCTGGTGTGTGGGCGGCTTCCGCCTCCTGTCCAGCCGTCTGCCCACTCGACCGACTTGGGAGCGCCGCTTCCGTCGCTGCGCCCGCTGTCCTTGTCGTAGAGGTGCCAGGGGGCGACCAAGGCAGCCAGCCTCGCTCCACCGTAGCACTTGCCCTGCCTGCTGTTGATGGAGCGGCAGCACCTCCAACGTCCGCAGCCACGTCCGCCAGTTGATGATGATGATGATGATGATGATGATGATGATGATGATGATGATGGTGGTGGTGGTGGTGGTGATGACGATGATGATCGTGGCGGTGATGATGGTGATGACCAGGATGGTGATAATGTCGCCGCCGATGATAATGGCGATGACGATGACGACGACGATGATGATGATGGTGGTGGTGGTGGTGATGATGATCCCCTCAGCTTCGGGCCGTGGTGCATCTGGCCAGCAGGGCACGCAGCGCCGCGGAGCGCTCGGCGAGCAGGCGGGCTCTGGCATCAACGGCACGCCGAGCCGCAGTTGCCGAGACGGTGGAGGCAGCCCTAATTTGATTGAATGCAGCGAGCGTGAGATCGTGAAAGATAGCAATGGAGAGGAGACAAGCAGTGGCAGACACGGGCGCGCAAGAGAGAACAATACGAGTTTCAGCCGAGAGATCGGCCCAACATAGAGGCAAGGAACGCAGATGGTTGGAGGCAGCAGTGGCTGAGATGGGACAGATCATATAGTGGCGGAGGTCATCTCCGCCAACTGCATTACAACCAGCTCTGCACGTCTGACATCCCTGTCGAAATCTGCGGGATGTACACCAAGCGTTGCACAAACTTCTGAGCACAGCACATGTTACAAACGTCGGGAGATGCCGACTGATTACGCCTAACCGAATTGCACACACATCGGCGTCATGCATGCTCGCATCAGAAAGTAGGCGGAGGAGGCGACGAAAGAGAGGCGGCACGAGCGAGGGAGCAGGGAAAGACGCACGCAAGAAGCCCTAAATGAGCCTTTGAATGTCAAGC